CACTCAGGAGGCTAACTGCTTGAATCCAGGAGTCGAAAGTTGCAGTGGGCCGAGATCACGCCACTGCACTCCGGCCTGGTGACAGAGCAAGACTCTGTCTCAAAAAAAAAAAAAGCCACTGACAAAATGACAAATCTGTACGATTCCACGTCTATGAGGCTTCCAAAAGAGATGACTTGTGGAGACAAAGTAGAAAAGAGATTCCCAGAGGCCGTGGAAGGGAGTCAGGAGAAGTGGGTGTAATGGGTTCCAAACTTATGTTGGGGGTGCTGGGAGTGGGCATGGGCACACGGCACCATGAAGGCACCGATCGCCCCAGAACTGCACACTAACAACTAACCAACAGTGAAACTGACCAACGTATGTCAGAAATATCTCACTACATTTACAAAAAACCCCCAAACTAGAAAACCCCACACCTCTACTCTGGGCAGGGGTTTTTCACCCTTTGGGAGGAGCTGAGGCAGGCTCACGCCCACAGCACAGAGTGAAACTGTGAACCTGGCACCGTGACATCTGCAGAGAACGTGGGAAGTGACCCAGCAGAGTGCCAGTGGTGCGGGGCTGCCTCCTGAGGGCCTGCTAATCACCCTGCTGCTCTGGGCTGTGCTGAAGCGTTTCTTCACCATGAGAATGTACTTCCTGAATTAACTGAGGGGAGGCTGGGTATGGTGGCTCATGCCCGTAATCCCAACACTTTGGGAGGCTGAGGTGGGAGGATTACTTGATCCCAGGAGTTCAAGACCAGCCTGGGCAATACAGGGAGGCCACCTGTCTGAAAACACACGGAGAAGGAAAGGCCGCAGAGCTGGGCTCAAATACCCAACCTGCTCCTTATTCCAGTAACCACGTGACTTAGGAAGGTACTCACTCTCTCTGAACAGGCTTTGAAAGAACAAAACCCCACAGCTTCCCAGGGCTGCTATGAGAATCAGGGCAGGAGGAATGGGCGGGGCAGGCTCTGTACGGTCCCTGGCCCATATGCCGCGCAGTCAGCATTAGCGGGAAAGATGCACGACCCCAGGCTAATACCTTGTGTGCCAGGCGGTCCTGTACCTCACACTCCACGTCCAGCACCTCGCTCTCTGCCGACAAGTCTGTGAGGATGTCCTGGAAAAGGGAGTCGAAGAAGCGCCGTCAGCCTGTGATGGGCAGGGTGGGAGAATGACGGGCTGTCCCTGCTCCTAACACTCCTGTGGAGGATGGTGGGGATGGCACCGTCTCCTAGTTCAGTTCTGGGACTGAACCTTTGAGGCCTGAACTCGGGAGGGAAACCCAGCAGTGGCTCCTGAGGGTCCTAATGGCACGGCCAGTTCTGCGCCAGGCCTGAAGGGTGGAGGGGACCATGGAGTGTGCCTAAGACATGCCCTGCACCTTCCCCATCACACACACATATTCTAAGGACCACACGGCACAGAGTCTGTACCAGGGTTTTGAACAAAGCCTGGTTCCTGTCCTCAGGGGCCCCCATAACAGCTGAAACAGTGGAGAAGAGGAGGCCTGGACTAGTGCCGTAGCAAAGGCCAGGCGGTACCAACGCAGAGGACAGGGCACAGCCCAGGGGCAAGGGTGGCTCCCTGGACAGGGTGACACCAGAGCCAGACCCAAAGGAAAAGGCTGATGTGGAAGCAGAGAGGAGAGGCAGCATCCTCCCCACGGGGGCAACGGGAACTGCTGGCTGCGACCCTGGGCCGCAGCTCCATACCAGCTCTATCTGAAAATGTCCACAGACAAGTGCTGTGCTGCTGGGCTGGAGGGCCCCGGAACGGGCATCCAGGCTGCAGAGTGGGCACCGGGAAGGCTGCTGGGTAAAGCACCCAGAGCTGTGATAAAAAACATAAACTTTAGGCCAGGCACAGTGGCTCACGCCTACAATCCCAGCACTTTGTGAGACTGAGGCAGGTAGATCATGAGGTCAGGAGATTGAGACCATCCTGGTGAACGTGGTAAAACCCTGACTCTATTAAAAAAAAAAAAAATTAGCTGGGTATGGTGGTGGGCTGAGCGCCTGTAGTCCCAGCTACTCAGGAGGCTGAGGCACGAGAATCATTTGAACCAGGGAGGCGGAGGTTGCAGTGTGCCAAGATCACACCACTGCATTCCAACATGGGCGACAGAGCAAGACTCTGCCTCGAGGAAACAAAAACAAAAAAACACATAAACTTTATGTCAAAGGCAGTGGACGCGCCATAGAAAAGCACAAAATCACATCCTCTGCAGCAGCAGATGGAAGACAGGGGCCGTGTCCTCAGCAAATTAATGCAGACACAGAAAACCAAACACTGCCTGGTCTGGTGTTGAAGTGGGAGCTCAACACTGGGTATTCATGGGTATAAAGAGGGGAACAAAGGACAGTGGGCTATTAAAGGAGTGACCGGGAAGAGCTAGAAACCTAACCGTTGGGTGCTATGCTCAGTACCTGGGAGGCAGGATCAACTGTATCCCAAACCTCAGCATCATGCAGTATACCCAGGTACAAACCTGCAAGTGCAGCCTCTAAATCTAAAATGAAAGTTGAAATTAAAAAAGAAAATTTAAAAATAAATAAAGGCAATGGGAAGCCACTGGAGGTTTCTGAGCAGGATGGTAAGATCTGACCCGTGTTCCAGAGTGAGTATTCTGTGGACAGGATAATAGACAGGGGATGAGGTGAGTGGATGGCTTCAGCCCAGGAGTTCGACACCAGCCTGGGCAACATAGTGAGATCTTGTCTCTACCAAAATATAAAAAATTAGCCAGGTGTGGTGGCACATGCCTGTAGTCCCAGCTACTTAGGAGAGGGTGAGGCAGGAGGATCACTTGAGCCCAGGTGGTAGAGGCTGCAGTGAGCTGATTGTACCATTGTACTCCAGCCTGGGCAACAGAGCAGACCCTTGTCTCAGAAACATACTAACAAACAATCAGGCTGGGGAGATAATAGACAGGGACGGAGATAAGAAGCTAGCAGACTGAGGCCAGAAGCGGGGCCATGGCACTGGAATTGGAGAGATGGCCACATAGGCTGGGGCAGGAACTCCACAAACAGCAAAGGGGGTGCAGAGAAACCACAGACAACACTACTGATTATTTTTTGTTTTTGTTTTTGATATGGAGTCTTGCTCTGTCACCCAGGCTGGAGTGCAGTGGCACGATCTCAGCTCACTGCAACCTCCGACTCCTGGGTTCAAGCAATTCTCCTGCCGCAACCTCCCGAGTGGCTGGGATTACAGGCACGCACCACAACGCCTGGCTAATGTTTGTACTTTTAACAGATAACGGGGTTTCACCATGTTGGCCAGGATGTTCTCAATCTCCTGACCTCATAATCCCCCTGCCTTGGCCTCCCAAAGTGCTGGGATTACAGGTACCACTGCTTCTTAAATGGGCAACGGGGGGACACTGGCAGAGCTGACGTGAACAGAGCACCCCCAGGAGAGGCAGCCCTGTGACGAGTGTGGCTTCTCTGGTGCCTCCAGGGAGACCCAGACAGCTCCTGAAGATGCAAATTTGGGGTCTGGACCTGGACCTGGCGGGGGGGTTGTCCCAGAGCCCCAGGGCCCATTAGGAGAAGAGGGTGGAGGGCAGACTCTGGAGTCTCAACACATTTTCTGGGTCAGCAGAGAAGAATGGGTAGCACGACTGAAGAGTGGCCAAGAGGAAACCAGAATGGACAGAAGAAAGCTTCTACAAGGAAAATGTTGCCTGGAATTGCCAAGGGGCATAAGAGTCAGGGCTGAGGGAGACAGAAGAGGGACCACTGGGCTGGGGATGGATCCAGGCAGTGCTTGCTGCACCTGGAGAAGGGCAGGTCATGGCGGCCTGTGAGGACCCAGATGCGGAGCCTGCAGCGAGGCTGGTGGGCAGCGGCATGACTCTCGGCAGCAAAACTGACTCACTGGCCAGGCGTGGCAGCTCACGCCTGTAATCCCAGCACTTTGGGAGGCCGAGGTGGGTGGATCACGAGGTCAGGAGATCAAGACCACCCTGGCTAACACGGTGAAACCTCATCTCTACTGAAAATACAAAAATTAATCGGGCATGTTGACACACGCCTATAATCCCAGCTACTCGGGAGGCTGAGGCAGGATAATCACTTGAACCCAGGAGGCGAAGGTTGCAGTGAGCCGAGATTGTACCACTGCACTCCAGCCTGGGTGACAGAACAAGACTCCATCTTTAGGAAAAAAAAAAAAAAAAAAAAAAAAAAACAAATTAAAGATAAATGCATCAAAAGAAAAAAAAAATAGACTGACTCACTGACTCACTGCCACTGTCTCTGGTGCAGGAATTCTTTGAGGGGAGGGCCTCCTGGGTGTGGGGCCTGTCTGGGCAGGTCCCGGGAAGTTAGGCAGGAGGGGGCCAAGCAGGTGCCCTCTTGGAGCTCCTGTGGCAGGGAGGCCAATCTGCTGGCTGCTCTGCTGCTGACGGTTCTCAGAGAAGAGGAAACAGCTTCATCCCTTTTTGCAAAGGGAGTATTTCCCAACCCAGGCTCACATCCTCATTTTCTGTCCTGGGCATTTTCCCCTGTGTCTCATGTGGTTACTGATGGTTTTCCCCAGCGGAGCATCTGCAGGCTCCCGCCCCTGCCCCCTACTCCCAGGGCCGGAAGGTGAGGCTCCAAAGTTACCTGCATAGACATGGTTCCCCTCACGGCGACTACGACAGATTCTTTCCTGTGATCCAGAGCCACTAGAAATGGGAGCTCGTAAACCTGCAGCGGTAAGAAATAAGCATAAGGCCTAAACACTGAAAACACACACGCAGCATACAAAGTCAGAGCCCTGCAGAGATGGCAATCACAGCCTGTTCCTGGGACAGAGAGAGGAGGGAAACGCCGCCTCTCTCCACACCCTCACTACACAGTGGGACCCACTCTCCTGAGGACTGGCCTTCATCAACCACGCCACTCTACATCAAAAGGGATCTTTGTTTTCTTTTTTTTTCTTTTTGAGATGGAGTCTTGCTTTGTCACCTAGGCTGGAGTACAATGGCCTGATCTTGACTAACCGCAACCTCTGCCTCCTGGGTTCAAGCAGTTCTCCTGCCTCAGCCTCCTGAGTAGATGGAATTACAGGCGTGCGCCACCAAGCCTGGCTAATTTTGTGTTTTTAGTAGAGATGGGGTTTCGCCGTGTTAGCTAAGCTGGTCTCAATCTCCTGACCTCATGATCCGCCCGCTGCGGCTACCCAAAGTCCTGGGATTACAGGCGTCAGCCACCATGCCCAGCCGGATCCATGTTTTCTTAGCCTCTCTGACCTCCAGAATTCAGATTTAACTGATCCAGGGTGTGACGTGGACTTCAGCAGTTTTAAAAGCTCCCAAAGAGATTCTATCAGGCAGCAAAGTGTGAGAGCCAGTGGTCTGCAGCAGCAGGCCTCCAACTGGTGTGTATGAAAATCGCCTGGAGAGACACTGGGCAGTGCTGAGCACACAGCACTGCAGGCAGACACAGCTGGCTTTTGCAGCTTTGCCCCAGCTGGCTGAGTCCCCCTGCAGAGTGCCAGACCTGCTATGCTACACTGTTGATGGGGCTCATGACCCAGGACAAGGATACGAACCCCAGAAGACCATACAGGATTAATACTGAGAAACTTCCCTGCTCCTCAGCAGAAGGGCAAGGTAAGAAACAGCACGTTATCTCTGCTGAAGACTTCTCTAGCTCACGTTAATCCTGGGTTCCAAACCTGCACCAGTGCAGCTGTGTGGCTTCACCAGGGTCTGTGGACCCTCTGAAATGGTACACAGGACTTAGGAGTGTGTTTGCGTGTCTATGAATTACAGGAAGAAGAATTCGTAACTTCCATCAGAATCTCTAAGGACTCCAGGACCCAAAAGCAGTGAAGAGCCGCTGCCTATGGTGTACACACCTTGTCATGAAAGCTGATGTGGATGAAGTCCCTGTACTGCAGCCCTGTCGTCTGCAGGATGGAGCCGAAATGGCAGTTGAGCTGATCACCCCCGACCAAGTCATAGTCTGTTGTTCTGCTTCTGCAACTAAAAAAAGGAGGGCAAAGACGTTACTGCGCCGAGCAGGGCCACTTAGCAAAGAATGTCCATCCTCACTGCCACATTTTCCCAGCAGACACGAGGAACAGAGCAGACAATTCTTAGGACTTAGCCTCACTGACATGGAATGGGTTTTTAAAATTTATTTATTTATTGTTTGAGTCTCACTCTGTCACCCAGGCTGGAGTGCCGTGGTGCAATCTTGGCTCAATGCAACCTCTGCCTCCCGGGTTCAAGCGATTCTCCTGCCTCAGCCTCCCGAGTAGCTGGGATTACAGGCTCGCACCACCACGCCTGGCTAATTTTTGTATTTTTAGTAGAGACAGGGTTTTGCCGTGTTGGCCAGGGTGATCTTGAACTCCCGACCTCAGGTGATCTGCCCACCTTGGTCTCCCAAAGTGCTGAGATGACAGACATGTGCCACTGTGCTGGTCCCGAAATGGCTTATTAAAGATAATACTTCTCTGTGTACACTTCTTAGGTAGAGTTCTGACTTCTGGCTTCACATTAATGCTTTCCATATTCAAAAGATTAATCAACAAGAATGGGCAAGTCCCTAAAACTGAATGCCAAGAAGAAGTAGGTAAACCAAACTCATTCAAATGAACAGCAGAGCCAACTCTGGAGAATGCAAATAAGAAAAGAAATTATGTAGGTAACTTTTGAGTACTGTGCTCTACTTTCAAAAACAAAAAGAGAGGCCAGGCACAGTGGCTCACACCTGTAATACTAGCACTTTGGGAGGTCGAGGTGGAACAGAAGGTCAGGAGTTCAAGACCAGCCTGGCCAAGATGGTAAAACCCTGTCTCTACTACAAATACAAAAATTAGCTGGGCGTGGTGACGCGTGCCTGTAGTCCCAGCTACTTGGGAGGCTGAGGCAGGGGAATTGCTTGAACCAGGGAGGTGGAGGCTGCAGTGAGCTGAGATTGCACCTCTGTGCTCCAGCCTGGGCAGCAAGAGTAAGACTCTGTCTCAAAAAGAGAAAAATAACATAAAATGGTTCAGAGAAAAAAATATGTATAAATATAGATAGAGTGATACAGCCCATGTGACCAGATGAGTCACAGCCGGTGGCTCTAGGTAAAGGACACATGGGATTTCTTTGTACTGTTCTTGGAAGTTTTTGAAATATCTCAAAATAGAAAGTCTTTTTTTTTTTTTTTTTTTTTAAGGGATATATGGCTGTGGAGGCTCAGACTGTGCCAACCTACCAGTCACCACCAATCTTGCACAGCCCCGTAAGGGGGTTTCTGTAGATGTAGAGAGGCCACCCGTAGGCCGCTGCTGCAAACTGCATATAATGATGGCAGTTTTCTAATTCTGCATCCAGATCAGCTTCCTAGAAGAGAAGGACAAAAACTCCTGTTTATTAAGGGAACTCATGATGCAGAGGATCCACACACTGAGACCTGAAACCTGAACTCAAATTCCTGACTCTTCCTGCTCCTTCACTGAACAGAACTCTCACACTTCCACAGCCAAAACTGCTCCTTAAATACAGATTGAAATGCATCCCTCATTTTTCTTTTTTTGAGATGGAGTCTCACTCTGTCATCCAGGCTGGAGTGCAGTGGCACAATCTCAGCTCACTGCAACTGCTGCCTCCTGAGTTCAAGCAGTTCTCTTGCCTCAGCCTTCCAGGTAGCTGGGATTACAGGTACACACCACCATGCCCAGCTAATTTTTTGTATTTTTAGTAGAGATGGGCTTCACCATGTTGGCCAGGCTGGTCTTGATCTCCTGACCTCAGGTGATCCACCTGCCTCAGCCTCCCAAAGTGCTGGGATTACAGGAATAAGTCACTGCATCTAGCCACATCCATCCTATCTTTAAAGCCTTGTGTTTTAGAAAATTTGCTGTTCGATTCTACGTATGAGAACAATTCCACCTGGGATGGGACCTGCAATTCTCCCTGGCTGTGTTTGCTTTCTTCTCTGGGGCTGGGGGGCAGAAACAGTTCAGCTTTGCTTGATGATAGTTTTCCTGCTACAGATTTTTATGTTTCGAGAAAGGAAATTGCAGGTCGATGGTATTTCGCTGTTCCGTGTTAAGACACCCAGCTCTTGGCAGCTCATGTATGACAGCAGTGTTGAAATGTACTAGTTTGAGGCATCTAGATAGGAAGCGCCACCTCATTGCAGGAAGACACCAGAGAAGTCATTAGAGTGTTTTTTATTGTTAACTTCCACCATGCTTGCTGCATTCCTATAAAATGAGGAGTCAGGCCAGGTGTGGTGGCTCACTCCTGTAATCCCAGCACTTTGGGAGGCCGAGGCAGGTGGATCACCAGAGGTCAGGAGTTCAAGACCAGCCTGGCCAATATGGCAAAACCCCATCTCTACTAAAAATACAAAAAATTAGCCGAGCATGGTGGCAGGCACCAATCCCAGCTACTCAGGAGTCTGAGGCAAGAGAATCACTTGAACCCAGGAGGTGGAGTTTGCAGTGAGCTGAGATTGTACCATTGCACTCTAGCCTGGGCAATAAGAGCGAAACTCCGTCTCAAAAATAATAAATAAGTAAAAGAAAAAAAAGGGGAGGGGAGGGAGGAAGGGAGGAGGTAATTGCTATAGATTAGCTATATGATTTTGAAGACTCACCAAGAGGTCTAAGTGTCAGAACTGGACAATCCATGGAAGCCAGGCTCACCTGCGAGCTCCCTGGGGTGTGGCTGACCACCTCGGCAGGCTCCTGGCTGTTCCTGATATTGTCCTGCTGCTGATGAAGCAGGGTGAGGCCTGCCGCAATGTCGCTGGGCACCAGATCTGTGTCCTGGGTGGGAAACCACAATGGCCTGTCCTGAAGCCCAGCAGGCACCGTCCCTGGGTTCCCTAACATCCAGTCTTCTCTAGTTCATAGGCACACACGCACACACAGAGACATTTCCAGGCACACAGGTATCTTACAATGCGTTCTCCTTGCAGGACTGCTTTTCTATGTGACCTTAATATATTGTCACATCCTGCCCTCAGACGGGTCCACTGGAGAACATAAAAATGCTGTTCATGTGTCTTAAAATTTCACTTCAACTGACTCAGCTATTTTTAATCTACTACAAATATTTTGTAAAGTGAAGAAATCAATGGATAAATTATCCGTTGTTGTAGCAATACACCATTTTAGCCCAAATTCATAGTCTCATTTCTTAAGATTCTGAAGGTTTTGCTGAAACACAGTGGATGGTAGAGATTTATGAGACTAAACTCATACTCGTTGGGTATGGCAAGCCTCAAAAAGGACCCAAAGCTAGGAAAGCAACAGACAGACAGTCTCCTTGGGCCTGATGTACTCTTTTTCTCCAGGAAATGGAGGAGTCAGGAATCCCCAATCACCTGTAAGAAAGGACTTGCAGCCTGTAAGAAAGGACAATATACTGGCCGGGCGTGGTGGCTCACGCCTGTAATCCCAGCACTTTGGGAGCCCAAGGCAGGCAGCTCACCTGAGGTAAGCAGTTTGAGACCAGCCTGGCCAACGTGGTGAAACCCCGTCTCCACTATAAATACAAAAATTACCAGGCAGGGCAGTGGGCGCCTGTAGTCCCAGCTACTTGGGAGGCTGAGGCAGGAGAATCACTTGTACCAGCCTGGGCGACAGAGTGGGACTCCATCTCAAAAAAA